TCACCAATTACTGCCTAGAGATCACAAGAGAGGGGAAAAACAAATACATCCTGGTTGAACTAAATACTCTTTTGAGTCCAGTACATCTATGATAGCTTATTCATCAGCCTTAATAGGTGACAAGAACATTACAAACTAGATCTTTGTGGCAAAGTAACTTCCACAAATTCTAGGGCTTCTTTGTTCTTCGTAGAGATGGTTTTTAAGATGGAATAGGGAAGTTACACAGACCTCGGCTCTAGAAAATGTCTGGTTTTCTATTTTATTCTTTTTTTTTCCCCAATGACTGAGTTCATCCTGGCCTTGCAAATTGCTGACCAAGTGCTGTGCATTTATTAAACTGCCTTTTGCAAATAAGGGTTGTCTGAGAATCCTTGCAGTATTTGGATTGTTAGCTTAAGCATGAACTTCTGCGATGTAAAGAGCAGCAGGCGAAATACAGGTGAGTTTCTCTGTTCATGTGTCTCATTGATAAACCCATTGCAAAAGGAGTTTACATTTGGTGTGGTAGAATGTGCAGTCCCCTTCTTATCCTGCAGATAACTATGGTAAGTATCATCTTAATTTCTGCTAGATAATGTTTTCACTAGAATTTCTGTCTTTCTGAGCAATATGACCTCTAAAGCAGAGACTTCACAAGTGATGAAGAATCATTATTTCAGCCTCTGAGAATCTGTCCTGGCAGAGACACTCATTTACTTTCCTCTGGGGTTATGGGGAATATGCATCTTGTGCCTTTAGATTTATAATGGATGGAGTGCTTTCTCTAGAGTGTTGGAATTTTTTTTTTTCAGGGAGATACTCGCTGCATTTTTTCAAGACTACTGCTTGCCTTATACTTGTAAGACTTGATATGCCATGTGGTAACATGTAAGAGAAAATAAATACTCTCCCTCAGTGCAGATCTAGAAAATCCATCTTTTGAAGCTTGTTTAGAAGTGGGCAAAAGTTTGCTGTTTGTAGTGGAAGCTGTGTGCTAAGCACTGGAAGAATGGTGAAAATACTAGAGTCATTCAGCCATTAATGTATTGGTTCAGCTGGTGGTACTGAACCCTTTTGCTGCAGAAACTCTAAAGCCTGACTCGTCTGTTGTGTTAAGTCTAGAGTTAAGTAGGTTAGGGTGTATAAATGCAAAAGCATTTATCTGACATTCTTGGCCACGTAGAGTAGATAACAACCATCACCTTATGGGCAGTGCCTGAAGAGCAGAGGTTTGAGAGGAGCTCTGAGTGACAGTCCGAGCAGCAGCAGCTTTGCTGAGAGGGTTCACGCTTCGTTACTAGCATCTGGGGTAGGAGGGCTGCACCTCTGTACCGTGTGTTCTTCACTTAAGGTGTGCAGTAAAACAAACGTCACTATGAAAATGAGTGATGCCAGTTTAAAGTGACTGTCTGTTACCTTGGACTGGTGTAAGGTTATGTGAAGTCAAAGCTCGTTCCTCTTTAAACTGTCAGCTATAAATATTCTGCCCATCTGAGCTATCCAGGCAGAGGCAATTGTTGCCTTTCTCTTTGTTCTTTTTTATTTCTCTGCCGAGTCCACACAGCTACAGCTCTGAGTTGAGGGTGGTGAAGGGAGAGTACTTCTCTTTAGGTGGCATGTGACCTCTGCTTCTGATACAATGGCAGCACTTTAGGGGATACACGTGGGCTTTAGGCTACGTGATGCCCAGGCAGCTACAAGCAAGGAAGTGCTTTAGGAAATGGCAAGAGCAATCCTGTTACGATCAGCAAACTTGCAAAAGGGTATGAAAGCAAAGGAGGAGTTATTAGTTAATCCTCTAATCCCAGTGTAGGTCTGTCAGTAGCTAGTTTAAGCCATTTACAGGACCCACAAGGGACTTCAGATCAGTTGCTCTGATAAGGGGTTCTAGTTCTCTAGCCTTTTGAAGAACTGACTTCCAGTAATCCTCCCTTTCTTCCCCCTTTCCTTCCCTCCCTGAAAGTCATCACATTCCAGTTTCCTAGATGAAAGGATGTTACCAGAATTGTTGCACAACCCCTGTGTGAGAACAATTGGCAGGGTGGTGTTTGAGCCGGCCTTTTTTGGCCCTTTTTTGCGTGGTCTTGAAAATGAAGCTGCATACTGCCAAGAAAGCCAGCTGTTGAAGGATTGCTGCAGCCCTGGCAGTTGTTCTGGGCCTGCAGTTGAGCAGATGTGGGCAGAGCTCTTAGCTTCAGAAGATGTTTGGGCTGGAGAAGCGATTTTGAGGTCCTGTCTGAATGCTGGAGCACTGTGGGATTAGCAGTGCTACCTGGTCACTGCTGTTTCTGGACACTGCTTGGTTTTTGGTCCCAGAAAATGCAACAGACATCAACAGAACTGAACACCGGGTGTATGCTTGTTGCGTGATAACTGCAAACCCTGTTCCATTAGCATGTGGCATCACTCCTCAAGTGCAGGATTTCACGGTGGAATAGAAGACTAGCTATGTTGAAGTGCAGAGGAGAGCAGTTGCACAGGATGCAGGGAGAAAGGAAAGCAGAGGACAAGAACTTGCCCAGTTCTTGTTTGATTCCTGGTGCTTTCCCTCACCACAACTACAGTGGTTCTCTTCAGAAGGTGATGACATATAGTGGGTAGCAAGGAGAAGCACCACTGAATATGTTTTCAAGCTTCTAGTAATGTTGTAGCCATGGTGACAAGTTGTTAGAGGTAATAATTTCATTAAATTGACTGATGGTTCTGGAGCAAAGTAAAAGCGACAGGCTTTTGAGACCCACAAACCTGAAGAAGGCAAGTATCTTCCAAAAGCTGTCAGTTGCTATAATAGGTGATGATGTCTTGATAGAGAACTGAAAGACTTGTGCATGAAACTTGTTTACATCTCAAAGCACTCTTCAGTCTACAAGGACAAATCTAGAATCATAAACTCTTTTTATGGGAAAGAGATTAAGACAGACTGTGAAGCGGTTGCCGACTACAAATTAAGGTTGCTCTTTAATCGTTAGCCTCTAGAAGGCTCCCAGCAACTTGGAAAAGGGTGTGAATGTGTAGAGGGGAAAACTATAAAGGTCCTGAAGTTCCTTCTGCTTTGAAGCACTGTAAGCTCTGTGCGAGCATGGAGAAAGTGTATGTATGGGAGAAGCTGCATTCCTGGTTGGGGGAGAGGGGCTGATCACAGCAGTTGTGTCTAGCACTGTACATTACCTTACTAATCTCACAGTTGTGAAATCTTGTGTATTTTGATGGGATTGTACATCACTGACTTGAAATGTTGTCAGAAGTTGTGCATTTCTGTGTAGGAGATGTGGATGCAGCCTTCTCAGAAGGTACTGTAGTATTTTTTTTTTCTGCACATAGGTTGCTGTGGACACTTGTGTTTGTTTTGATTGTGTCAATATTGGAAATGCAAGTAGTACCTTTGGCCCACTATCTGTAATATTTTGCAGTAGCCCTGCTTATTTTTTATTCTGTTGGGTTTTGGGGTTGGTTGGGGTTTTTTTTAACTCCACTTTGCAGTCTTTAGCATTTAAAATAACCAAATAATTAATCTGAAAACGTAAGAGAAAGCTGGATCTCCACTGGAGAGTCTGATCGGATGTTAGCCGCTTGAAAAATAAGTTTCATAAGCACAAGATGCCTTTATGTTTTGCTGAAACGTTACTGCTTTTTGGGGAAGAGGAATTAAGATTCTGCAGAAACTCTGGGGGAGAAAAGATTAAGAAATAATGCTGTTAATGAAGGAGAAGAGATGTCTTAAATGGCAGTGAATGCTATTAAAAATACCAGCTCTTACCCACTAATGATAGGCCAAGTTTTGCAAACTTAACAGGTTTCATCCTTTTTTTCCTCATGCTTTGCCTTTGATGGGATTTTGCCTTTGATTGCATGGTTGTGGGTGGAATGTCTGATACTCTTGGCTACAAAAACTATATAGGTTCTTAAAATTACATTTGTTCTGGCCTGGAGCGGAGCTATGTGGGTGTTGGATGTTTCTTTGAGACCTGGCATCCCTTTTGGTTAATCACCTTACCTTATCTCCAGCTTTAAAGGAAGGAGATTAATATCTAGCAGCCAACTTCATTATGGGGCGTAGATCCACACTGCTGTAGATTTAATGCTTCAGTATATGAATCAGCCAGCTGGGAAGACAGTGTTTGAATAATCAATTATCCAGGAATGCACTCTGTGGACCAGAGACAAGTAATTATGAATGTTACTTCTTACAGTCTCAGCTCTTAAGCACATCAGTATTAGTTGATCAGAAATGCATTATCATCTGCTTAGGTGATAATGACACCTTAGGAGATAATGTGGATCTTTGCTTGGGCGATACAGAAACATAGTACACTCTGCTAGGCTGGAATTGAATTAACTAATAAAGAGGTTGTTCTCTGCGTATCTGAATAGCTGGAATATTTAAATTACACTAGCTGTCTAATGTCCCGTGTACTAATTGTGAAAAATGTCAAAAGAAATCCTTACATAATTAGCTGAATACTATAAATACAATAAATTGTTGCTGCTGCTTATGCAGAGTGAGCTGGATTATCAGAAGTAATCTGTTTAATTTAAACCCAGCTCATTTTAACTGAAAAAGGTTAGGGAGCAGCCACGTGATCAATTCTGCCAGCAGATCTAAGGAGGAAAGTAGTAATTTCCATTAATACAGACAAGCAGGATAAAACGTGTCAAACAGCCCCGTCTGATTCAGTAGGCTTCCATTAATTATTTGGAGTGTAAGCAAACTCTTCAAGATGCAGTTACCAGTGGATTTTGAGCAAATTTTGAATCTTGTGTAAAAAGCAGGTAACTGCCTTGTTTTGCCAGGTACCTCTTGATTAAAAAGCCGGTATGAAAAAACTAGGGAGCACTTGGACTTGATGGCTGTGCTTGTCTTAGTCTGTTCAGCTAGAGCCTTGTCAAAAAATGAATGATTACTCCTGATTACATAAAGGGGGAAGAAACTTTGAATTCTAGATCACATTTAATTTTAACACTTCCATAAGCACAAGTGGTACATTGCTAGTTTGTACTTTAGAGCTCTTGTGTTGCAGTTACAAGTGTGACGTTCATGGTCTTACCTTAATTGCTTTTCTAGGGAAAGCACGTGTGCAGCAGCTAGCAGAGAACACAAGATATTTCAGGAGACGACTGAAGGAGTTGGGCTTTATCATCTATGGAAATGAAGATTCCCCTGTTGTGCCTCTGATGCTGTACATGCCAGCAAAAATTGGGTAGGTTTAACCAGGATAGCTTCTCATCCGTCTTCTTTAAAGCTAGGATGGTACCAGAGTATTAAGACTTTTCTAAATATAAGAAAATACTGTTTTTATTTTTGCTTTTATGATCACTACTGAGTCTTATAAAACATGAAAGCTTCCTATAAGTGATCTTGAGAAGATTGAGGCGTGTAGCTTGAGGCAGCAAGAAGGCCCTTCGGGGAAGCAATTGTACCACTACATGCCATGTTTTAAGAGATTGGGGGGGGTGTGTCCTTTTATTTATATGTGAAGTGTATATAGGTGCTAAAGAGAAGATGAAATTGAATTGAAATTAACATTTAAAGTCACTGGAGGGATCTTTAGCCAGCTCCTGGATCAGAAGCAGCCAAGGTTTTCACAGATGAACTCTAAAAATTAAGAAAAGAAAAAACAGGGGGCAGGAGGTGATGGGACACAACCTGTATTTGATAAATCCCAGGTTTAAGAGGTCTGGATTTAATAGCTCAGGTATTGTTATTAACGCTACTAATAGAACTGTAACACATAGCACTTATAAATGCTCATGGCCTTGTGGACTGCTGTGTGGGTAATTAAGGCTAAAATTCTGCAAGCAGGGTATAACGTGTATATTGAAAATTTTTGTAACATAAACAAAAGCCTCATGTCAAGGCTTTGAAGCTGCTTTTCTGTGTCCATGTATAATGCAGTGCTGAGCCAACACTTTTAAATTTGGAAGGCATAACTTTGTTTTAAGCCATACTGAACATCTCTAATGCTCTTCTTAGCTCAGTTCAGCTTCAGTCTGGCTAAGCACTCTGGTCCTGTGAGGGAACGAACACCTGTCACTCTACATGAAGTCATACAGTCTTCCTCCACCCTTCTCAGTACAAGTGAATTCAGAAGGCCTGTAACCTTTATGGGTGCTGTAGGGTCTGCAGTGTGCACCATCCAGCATACAGAGGCATACTGTTTCTACTGCCCAACCGCTCTACCAGTCAGTATAATCTCTTCTCTGGAAATGTTCATAGAAATATTTATTAGCTGAGCAGTTAGATCAGTAGCTTACTTAAAAATGAACAAGAACACAGACCTCAAAGTTGGCCCTTAGGATCTACATCAGGTCTACTTTATCCTTTCTTTGTCTCTTGTAGCTTATTTTTAAAAATACTTTGAGTGTACTAAATGGATCCAAAATGAAGGGTATCGGGATGCACCTATTTACAAGGAAAGTAGTTGTAGCAGAAGTAAAAGGCAGAAAATTTAAAAACCTAGTAAAGGGATGTTATTTTTATATATGTTTATAAGCCTCTTAAATTCATTGCTGCTTCTCAAGACGAGGTCAGTTCAAAAAGGATTAACCATTTCCTGTGGTGTGTAGAAACACCCATAATTGCACTGCCATTACGGAAAGGATCTAGATCTTCGTGCCTCTTGTGGCATAAGTCACAGGTGCTAATTTCTTTAATCCCTATAAGAAGAATTTGTTTTGTTGAAGATACGGTGTGACAGTTGTATGAAGTTTTTGCACCTTCCTTAAAAACAATGTGGTGTCAGATTGGATGATGACCAATTTACTGCGGCAATTCAGTGGTTCCCATGGTAGGCACTTCAGGAGTGGTACATTCTGTGATGGTGTGATGTACTTTAGTCAGATTGGTGAGAACAAACCGTCTTGAAACTGCAGAAGTATCTGCTTTGGGGGATTGTGGCTTTGGGAGATTCCTTGTATAGCTAAACTTCTGAGCCAAAATCCCTGTTTCCTATTGCTAGATTTCCAGGCTTAGGTTACAAATCCATTTAGAAACAGACTGCTAAAAGACTAACCTCTCCTACATATAATCTTTCAGCTTTGTTAGAACTTAATACAGTGAAACCTTTTGAGGAGGACCACCTTGGGATTGAATTAAAAAAGGCTTTTGAGAACAAGCATTCTGCCTCGAAAAGAAAGCACTGGAAACTCCAAATTGTGGTTTTACAGGCTTACTCCAACAACAGCCGTTATGGGTTAACACATGGAGACCTTCATGCTGCTGCTGCGTTGCCTCTTCTGGTATCATTCTGATGATCTTGTTCTCTCCGGCAGTGCGTTTGGGCGCGAGATGCTGAAGCGGAACATTGGTGTTGTGGTTGTGGGCTTCCCTGCTACCTCCATCATCGAGTCCAGAGCCAGATTCTGTTTGTCTGCAGCTCATACCAGAGAGATGCTTGATACGGTAAGTGTCTCATCTTGTCTTCCTTTTGCTCGTGCCTTCTGTAAACAGCTACAACAGTGGTCTGTTCTTTGTAGACTGGTTCAATGTTTGGTACACAAACTATTTGAACCTAATGTTCAAAGCCTTCTGTAGTAGAGCTGGCAATGATTCTGTCTCTCTTTCCTTGCTTCAATGCAGAATGGCTGCCTACAGTAAGTCTCAGAGACTTTCTTTGACTCTTAAATGATGCAAGAGAGACAGTCTCATTCCTCTGAGACAATGCCTTTTCCCCTCTTAAGAGGCTCTACATTCCACTGAATCTTTTAAAAGGAAAAAATTATGCTGCTTCTGACCCTAGATACAGAAGGTAAGGGAAAAAGGCTGAGAACCTCCAAAACATCTATATTCTTCTCAAAAGCAAGTGCAAACCTCAGCACAGGATTACCAGGGAGAATTTTTATTCTAAAGATTACTATTCCAGTTGTTGTTTACAGCTTCAGAGCACTGTATCACAAATGATCCTGTCTGATCTGAAATGAGTCAATACATGGTGCAATGCCTGCCTGATTCGTGTCTGCACTAAATGTGTTCCAGCATCACAGTTAGGAGAAGCTGCCTTGGAAATGAAGGATGGAAGTTACTCTCTGACTAATAGAAGATTACACTAATAAGCCTGACTATCCTTACACGTTTTGGTGTGGTAACTACATTTATTTTTAAGTCCTCTGAACAGTCTTCTTTCGACATATACATGGGCTATCTTAATCTCTGTCAGAGTTCTCCGTTGTATTTTTTTTTCCCCCACTTTGCTATTCTTTGACTCAGAACCTAAGCTGAGTTACGACTTTGGACTTCAGGAGAGTAGAGTGTCCTGTTCAGGGACCAGCTTGGAAGAATCCCATGGGATACAGTCCTGAAGAGAGGTGGTATCCAGGACACCTGGTTGATTTTTTTGTTTGTTTGTTTTTCCCAACTCCCAAAGAATGGTACATCCTGACTTACAGGAGAGCAGATGTAGTGGGAAGCCTGCATGGATCAACGAAACCATAAAATTGAAGCGTACAAGGGTGCGAGCAGGGACAGGTGACCCAGTCCTGAGCATGCAGGGATGGGGTCAGGAAAGCCAAAGACCACCTGGAGCCGAGTTTGTCAAAGGACATGAAATAGAGCAGGCAGTGCTTTTTGGGGGGATATTAGCCGCAAAAGGAAGAGCAGAGAACATGCAGAAGGGCTGCTGCTGAATGGCATGGAAATCAGGTGACAAATGTCACTTTTATGAGGCCAAGGGAACTCAGTGCCTTTGTTGCCTCTGTCTTTACTGATGACACTTGCCCTCGGGGATCCTGGGCCTGTGAGTTCAGCAGAAAAATACAGAGCAGTTAAAACTTACCCTTGTTGTGAAAGAGGATCAAATAAGGGAACGCTTAAACTGAACATAGTGAAGTCCATGGGACCTGATGGGATGCACCCACAAGTGTTGAGCGAGCTGGCTGTCACCGCAAGTCCACTCTTGATTATCGTGTTTGGAAGGTCATGGTGACTGGGGGAGATTGCTGAGTATTTGAAGAAAGCAAATGTCACCACTCACTTCTAGAAGGGCAAGAAGTGCAATCTGAGGAACTGCAGGTTGAAAAGCCTCACTTTGATCCTTGGGAAGATGATGGAAGGAAAAAAAACTTTGAAACTACTGTCAAACATTTTGTGGACAAGAAGGTGATTGGAAGTAGTTGGCATGGAGTTAGGAAGGGGAATTCATGCCCAGTATCCCTGTATGATCAGGTGGTAACACTTCAATACATGAAGAGCAAATGGGACATACAAACGGATATTTACTAATGTCTTGCCAAAAAAAAAATAAATCAAACTTTTCACACTTCACTGCCACAGAACTTTCAAATCAGCAACTGAAAATGGCACTCTCTCTTCAGTTTTGTTAAAAACAGATGTTAATGCAGTGCTGTGTGCAGCTTGGAAACGTATACTCAGTGTCACTCTATCAGTTACACAACCTGCTGCCTATCTGTAGCATTGCACTTGCTGCTTCTGAATTGTTTCCTCCCTGTAAGACCTGAGAGATTCTGCCCTGACACTCCAACAGCAGACTGCTTAAGGAGTTCCTTCCCAGCTACTTGTCCTGCTATTCTTCCCATAACTATCCCAATTCAGTTGTTTCTGTTCAGAATAAAAACCGTGTGTTGGGAGAAGGCCCTCTCCTTCCCTTCCTTTCCCCCTGTATAAAATAAATAGTATTGCAGACTTGGCTGTTACTCTGGTAACAGGACAGAGTGCATTGACACAAATGAGGGAGCAGGAACTTCTGCACATGGGGGGATGAACGGAGAGGAGGTAGGAGGAAGGAAAAGGAAGAAAACTGAAGTCTCTGAAATCATATTGCCGCAAACAGCTGAAACTGCAAACTTGACGTGCTGGCGTTACCTGAGCAACCACGCAGCCTTGATGTGGTTAGATTCTGGGTCTTCTCTCTCCATGACTAGCTGGACTCTTTACCATACAAGCTGCTTTTGCAGCCTCTGTGTAAGTACCATACTTGCTCTCTTCCAAAACCAATCTGTAACTTTTATGACTCTGCTTAAAAAAAGCTCTTTTCCTGTCAGTTCGCTTACAAGTATTTCTGCTTTCCAGAAAATGTTTCAAGTTCTGTGCATTTAACTCTAACAACTCATTTCTAAGGTACCTCTGTAGGTGCTAAATGTTCTAAATTGAGGAAAAGCTTAATGTCATAGGGCTTTTCTGCCTAAGAAAATTAGTCCAGGACAAAATGAGGTGTGAATTTTGAGGTGAATGAAGAAAACCTCATTTAGTTCAGCGTGTGGAGGCTTTGTTCCAAGTTAGTGTAATCTACTTGGAGGTTCAAAACAGCTGCATGCTCTGAACCCAAAACATTGGCGAGAGGAATTAATAAGGAGCAAGTCTTTGTGTCAGTGACTGTTGTGTTTTCTGGTGATGCAGTGAGAGGGGATTGATGTCAGGCAGACGATCATTAAGGCAGCCCTCAGATCTGATCCCTCTGCTGAACTATGGCGACCGTATCCAGGAGGAAAAGGAACTGAAATGAATAGACTTGGAGAGAGCTGGTGGAGGGCTTCAAGTCTGTGACAGAGAGAACTTGGTAGCCCATCTGTGTGTGAATGGATGCTAGCTAGGGCTGTTGCAGCATTTTTTTCTAAACAAAATGTGTCCAGGTTTGGCACAAGGAAGAGAAGCTTGTCTTATAAATGCTGGTATTTGTAATGTTTCCTTGCTCTTATTAAATAAACCTGCATGGTGGGGAATAGTTCTCAGTTACAATTTTAACCGTTTTATGTAAATAAAACTTCCTTGCCTGAAAATATTTGGCTCGGGATCAGAGTGAAGTCCCTCATAACCTGCATCCCTGTGGGCTGGTGCTTTCTTTTCAGTGATGAAAAATATATTACACTCTCCTGAAGTCAGAGTTCACCAATGCCATTTCCTTTGTAGTCTTTGCTGGTCACACGCTCCTTTTTGTTTTAAATTAATAAAATCCTAAATCTGCATTCAAGAATAACAGTTAACAGACTCTTTCAACAGAAATTCAACCTTAAATTGTTTCCATATGGGATCTTTACCTAAAGCTCTGGCAAACTGTGCCCATGCTTGTGTTTTGGTTTGGTTTTGTTTTTACTGAGGTCCAAACTTCTGGGTTTGTCGTTCCCCCATATTTTGGAGTGAAGAGTTTCTTACTGCCAGATACAACAAGCATGAGGGGCCATTGTTTAAAGAAAAAAAAACTTGAACTATCCATCCAGGAAGGAAAAGCATGTAGGGATATTAACCCCCGTCTGCCAACTGTTCTCAAGAGACAGGCGTTTGACCCAGAGCACGTTCACGTTGGAGCATTAATGTTGAGTCGGCGGCATTCCGAAGGAATGCTGAATGTACCTATTTGAATAAAGTTACAATTCAGGGGAGTGCATAATGAGAACCTTTTGGGTTCAGAAATCACATGGGACCTGGAAGTCATCTTCCAAACTCATTTCTTTGTGACTTGCCTATATGAGATAATTAGCATCACGTACTGTTGCAGATTTGTCTGCAGTAACTGGTTTATGTTGTACCTTGCTCCAGGAGTGTTCTGTAAGGAAATAAGTTAAGTTTAGGGCTTGGCTTTTAACAAGCTCTATTGTGAACCACTGTCTTATCAAAGAGATTGTAACGTAAAGAAGGTATGATTAACTAAGCCGGGACTTTCCTCGTTTCTTGTGCTAGCAGATGTTTGATCTCTGAACTTCATAACACTTGCATTCACATCAAAACTGCAAAAGGTTTTGTTAGCTCACCAGCCGTGTTCTGGCCATCAGTTGCCTGAGAAAATGCTAGAGATCATACCCAGAATAACTTTTTTTTTTTTTCCTCATTCCTTGGATTGGCTGGCTAAAGTCTCCCATGCCACGTTGCTTATGATACAGAGCTTGCATCGCTAGTTGTACATAGAGAAGGCAAATTGACCAGATGTAGACGTAACAAACGCATCAGTAGAACTTGTTAGCACAGCATTGCAGTTTACATGTTGCTATCTTGCAGTTTAAAAAAAAAAAAGTAGGTCAGAGATTGTATGTAAAACACATGTTGTTTTCATACTGAATGATACGTAAAGAGGAGTCAAACCTCCATGTACATTTTTTTTCCGCTTCAGCTTTATTACCTCCAGGAAGTGAGGAACATTGTTCTTGATTTTTCTGTCTTATGAATAGTCGTGGCTTTCTGTTTTTCTTTTGTGGATGACTCTGAAATTTGAGTTAGTATTTCTGGATGTTATAATCCTGCCTTGGAAGTGTAGTCATCAGGTGGATGCCGCATCACTCTGGGTTAAGTGACCAGTGCTGCTCACTTGGTCTAAAGGCTTCTGAGTGCTAAAATCAAAGCCAAATCCTATGCACCTCTGAAGCTACAGACTTGTAGCACAGTAAAGTCTTACTTAAGTAAAATGGCTGTCAGCGTAGTGTGCAGGCATGCAAAAAGGAAGACGTGCTGATACTTTGCTTGTATCGGTCTCCCCTGCTGATCTACTGTGGTCTTTTTCTCAGGCTTTAAAAGAAATCAGTGAAGTTGGGGACCTTTTGCAACTGAAATATTCTCGTCACCGGTTAGTGCCTCTCTTGGACCGGCCGTTTGATGAGACAACGTATGAAGAGACAGAAGACTGAACTCCCTCCGTGTGCCTTGGTGGGAGGGAGACGCCCCGTGGGACACTCCGTGGCATGCAGGCCACCACTTCCACGAACAACACACTTATGACTGCTTAGCATACAAGACATTTCCTCACAATACTGAAGTGGCCACATCAGCTCTAAATGGCATTTTGTAAATAGGGAGAGGAGAGGAAAAAAAAAAGCTTTGATTCCTGTGTCTTCAGGGTCTGGCCCTAGAGGTGCTTGGCTTTATTTTTTCTTGTTGCTGTTCTTATTTATTTGTCTCAATGAGTTCACAGCAACCCAAGTTGGCTGTGGCTAGTCAGCTCAGACTTTGTACACACCATTAGCTTCCTAAATGCTGGCTGAGATGTTGTGAGCATGTGTGACGCTGGCATGGCAGCATTTCCAGTGTCACTGCCAGGTGCCTGACCTTTCCAGTAAGGAGTGAGCTGACCTGTCTGTTCTTGGAGACTTCCTAGAGAAACTGTTGATTGCTAACTTTGACATATTTAACAAGATGGATAATCAACCAAAGTTATTGGGGATTTTTTGGGTTTTGTGTTTTGTTTTGGTTTTTTTTTTTTTTAATTTCTTTTGCAGTTACTTGTGTTTAAAACTTGAATTTAGCTTTTTTAAAACAAATGTGTTGTTGACATGTCAGTGACAGGACCATTGTTCCCAAACATTATTTAGTTTTGTAAGCCACAGACAGAGGACATCTGGGACTCTAGCCTCTTTTTCTTCCCAGTATGGATACCAGATTGTCTCCTGCTTTTGACACTAATTGTCCTCTTGTTACAGGGTAAGTGATGGAGAGGGGTTTGGTTCATTTTTTTAATGGGCTGTGTTTTGTCTTCCTTCTGACATACTTCTGTTCAAAACAAGATGAAGGTGGTTTAGTGTGTGTTGCCTCCTCGGCTTCAAGTTAATATCTCTGGCTTCAGAATGATCATAAAACCATGACAAGTCACTGATAAGTTCTAGAAGGGTGCTCTTGGGATTAAGTAAACCATAGCAAGCCTTGGCTTCTCGTTAAGACCAGAACCTCTCAATAAGTGAGCCTATACAATGGATGACTATTAGGAGACCTGCTTATGTCATGCAGGTCTGTGAAAGACTGATTGCTACCCTTTGCCGTGCTAATTCACTGCGTTTTGTCATATCTGAGGTGTTCTGCATTGGTCTGGTTGCAAAGGTGCTTATGCAAAGAGTACAGGCAGCTTGGGTCTCGTTATCATACATTACATTTCGACTTGCCGATGAAGTCTTAGTCGGCAGCTGCATGTCCGTAGGCCTTCCCTGAAGAGGGAATGTCCTCACAATTGCATTTAGTTTGAGATCTTTATTCTTTTGCATTTCTGTTACTGTGAGATCAAATGGATGTTCACTGAGCCAGTTGCTGTTTGGAATCTGTTTGCAGGTTCCACGCTATCTTTGATCCAAGTTTCAAATAGACACCTTTGCTCTGGCATGCCTTAGGGGTGGTCTGCTACGTAGTCATTGCGTCTTGAATTCTTTGTGAAGAGAATGGTTCATCGAAGAGGTACCAAAAATTTTATAACAGGGTGTCAGTTGCAGTATAGTTTGTTCTTGTATTTTATACCTTGGACATGTTTCTGCAAAGATCGTGAAGCTTTAACATTATGTCAGTTGGGCTGGGGCAGCTCTTCAGTTTGAGTTATAATGATGCTTTTTGCAGGTGACTGGAGTTTTTTTACAGATTCTTCATCGTAATGCTAAAGTAGAGTGCAGCTCGAAGCTATTTGCCTGGTGGTGCAAGAAAAATGAATAATTTTTTAAAGTTCTTTTGTGTTCACTCAGCAACTACTGGGGAAGCAATGCTTTCGTCACTAGAACCAAGCAGTGCTGCAGATACATCTGGTGACTCAAAGTAGAACTGGCTTCTATTTTATAGAATATCTGTCTTCATGTACTATAGAACTTGTTCAGCTTCAGTGTGACAGAACTTCAGAACACTGATTCGGTGTTTTACCACTGCTTTTCAGAAATTTAATGATGATAAGAGCTAAAATTGGCTGTTTCAAAATAGGTCCAGATAACTGTTTCCGTCTTAGTTCACTAATGTTGATTTGCTTGCCTTCTGGAGCGAAATATGTGCGCACTCTTGAGGAGTCTGTGACCTGTATGTGCAACTTTGGTAGCTGTAGTCTCACTTGTTCAGCCACGGAGTGAGTGAACTGCAATTACATGAGCTAACTTCCTCACCGGCGTTCTGCCCAGGACTAGCACTAACATTCCAGCAGGTGACCTGCTTTCTGACTTCCAAGAAGCTTTACCTCAAAGAATTGTTGTGGGGTGGTTTTTTTGGTGGTGTGTGGTTTTGTGTGTTTGGTTTTTTCTGGATTGTAGTAGGGAACAAGAAGAAGTTAGTGCCGGAAGCCCTGACTCCAGCCCTGGTCCTGTTGACTTGATGGTGGAATAGATCAGACAAAACCGACCAACTGGAAGGTGTAGGCATGGGTCAGCAGGGAGCTGTTTTGAGCATTCCCAGATGTACAGCGTGCTTGTCTGCCGTGTACTCAAGTCAGTTTCAAAACTGGTGTATTAGTTAGAAGTGGGTTATTGTAGATTCTGCAAGTCTCAAGTCTTAATCTTGTTTGTGGGATTCAGTTTTAGGGCAGCTTGTCTTCGGAAGCGAGAAAAACATCTGGATAAATCTCAGTAATTCAGATAACTCCTGTGTAACACTTCTGCAATTTTAAGTGTTTGAAAATCACTGGTTCCCCATTGGGATGCCAGTTGCACTTGCTGAGGAAATTCTGTTCGTGCTGAACTTCTGCCGTTTACGAACTTCTCTGTCACACCGTCTGCATGTGACTTTGAATTCTGGGTTGTAAAGACATTTCAGAAAGCATTCAGGCAGTTGGTAGCATTTGCAAGCTGCTTGGTTACATTTCAGCCCTGCCATATCCCTTCTGGGAAGTGACTGCCCCCCAGCCCCCCTCCACACCCTGCCAGGAGGCCTTTTATTCAAGGGAACCTGTTTTGCCGAAGTCTGGTACCTGTCGAAACTCCTTCAGAAAAAGAAGTTACAAGTCCAAGATTTCACACGTTTAAGCCAGTAATTCATGAAAGCCAGGAAAATCTTTTCACATCTACTAAAAGACTCTTCCGCAACCAAAGGAGCAGACCACGACCGGTCTGCACTAGGCAAGCCTACAGCATGTATGCTGTCACGGTATGCGTAGGATGGATTGCTGCTTTGATATTTATGTCCTGACCAGAAATCGGTCTCCTCTTTGTCCTGGCAGTAGAAGTGAATGAAAGAACCAATCTTGAGAGATCACAAAGGAAGAAAAGCTGCTTAAGAAATAGACTCCAGTCCCTGCCAACTTTTCTGAGACATTCTAATTGAAAATGACTCCTGGTATTTCTTAAGAGATGCAAAATTCAAAAGAAAATGAAGGCTGCTTCGGAACAAAGGATTTTCCCCTGTACTGTACATTGGCTAAACTTACTTGTAAATATACAATAGTTACTTTCCCAGTGCATCTCCAAAGAACTCAGCAAACAAGATTTTTGCCTCTGCTGAGAGAAGAGTTTAGAACCATTAACGTTTTCAAGGCTGATGGCCATATTCTTTTAAGAAAATTGAGATGCTGCTATTACCGAGCATCAGCGAAGAGTGGGAGATCTGCTTCTTGTTACAAACTGGCCTTCCCAAGCAGACCTTTGTCTTAGGGAGCCTGATTCATGATTTTTCTTTAGTTCTTTGGCAGAGAAGCCACCAAGGTTTTTTGTTTCAAAATAATTAGGGTTTGTTTGGTTTTTGGTTTTACACAAGACACAAACTTTTGTATAGTATCTGTGTATATGGTGTATTTAACTATTGTTTAGTTTCTGTATTTTTTCCCTTCTGAGTAGCATCCTTAGAGCTGTTCTGGTTCTTAGGTTACGGGTGTAGCACGCTTCTGCTTTAGGCCAAGACTCAGGACTGAATTGACCGAACATCTTGCTGTGATGAAGTCGTTCAGTGAAGGAATTGCTTTATCCATCCTCCTCTTGCTGTTTCCTTGAAGAGTGCAGCAGTGGTACCCGCTGTCAGCTGCACTTCGGCACAGAGCAGGAAAGGGAGGTGTACCTGAGAAACCAGGGACCCAGCCCTGTGCTGTGTGGATGAAGGACCGATACAGCAGAGTGGGGAAAAGGGGCAGTCAATCATCACTTATTCTCAGCTGTACAGTCATCTGTCATGTGTACTTGAACAAGCATCCCTAAGACAGGAATGCAACTCTTGATGCCCAAAGGGACACTCCTCTAGAACTTCTCCACACCAAGTAAATACTTCCTCACCTTGTGTGCAAATTTTAATTTACCTCTGAAAAGTATGTGGCTTGCAGCTGTTTGCTCCTCCAGAAACCATGATATCCGTTCAAGCAGATCCTGGGAAAGGTTGGGGGAAAGCCGTGAGCATGAGCTCTCCCTTTCATCTGAGAGAACACTTTGCAGCGTTGGAGCTGGAGCGCTGTGCATGAGCTCCCTCGCTGCATCACAGAGAAGGAAACTTGGGGAGGTTCATCCCAACGTACAGTGCTCAGTCAGACTGCGTACAGTTCCTATGTACAGTTTATATATGTTATTGCCACAGTTTACACTCCACCTGTGAAAGTGTCAAGCGTGCTGGGATCTGTGTGGGTGGCAGCTTCTGCACGGATCGGAGGTGTTAGAACAGGCGTGGGTACCAACTCGCCAGGCACTGAGCTGTCTGGGCGTGCCCAATGTGACCCCTCGGCGCGTGCATCGCCAGCTTCAGCGCTGGCACCCAGCTGGCATTGGGCCACTGTCTGGGAAAAGCACCAGCCATTTGACCTGGGTAACTTGGACGTGGTTTTAAAAGAAAGAAACAAAACCCCCAAAACGCTCAGATGCCACTGATGGTTTGTATTCCTGTAAACGTCCCCAGCCTTGCGGCTGTTCACCCCTTGGAGGGCTGGGACGTGAAGCTAGAGCACAGCCATGCAGTGTTGGTGTGAAGTACCGGGCTTCGTCTTTCACAAAAAAGAGAGCGTTTGGTGCAGATGTCCCCAGGAGGGGCTGGGTGAAGCAGATGACAACTGTAGTGTGTGTTGAAGGCCTTAAACTGTGATTCTTGGTATGAAGCATTGAAATTAAAACTGATCTTGAAGAGTGCAGTGGATTTTAACCCATGGAAAAATATGGCGTGCTCTTAGTTCAGCAATGCGTACTGCTGTTTTCTTGGGAGGGAGAGGTCCAACTCAGTTTGTGTTTGACCCTGGCTGGCAGCTGTTTAGGGAGCAGGAGGGGTGTCTGTGAAGGCCAAAAGTAGTGCAGTTCTGTGCACCGATGTTCCTGCGTAGCAAGAAGGGGTAGCGTGTTCTGGGCTGCTCACAGCAGGAGAATCACTGGCAGGGGCAGGGACTTGCGGAGCAGTGGCAGCTAGCGAATGAATTTCCTCGACGGTAGGTGAACGCATCTCGCTTGAATATGCCCAGGGCTGGTGCCCTTGGCACCCGTGCTGACGTGAAGCATGCTCCAAACCAT